TTTAGGCCACAAAAAAAATAGGACGTATTTACAGGTCCCTCTCACCACAATGCACAATCAGAGGAACACAATGAAGGTGCATTAATACATTTTTTTATAATGTGAAATAAATATTAACCATGGAAAGTAATGATTTACGAATGGTGATAAAAAAAGATTTCTTGAGTAAAAGAACATTTATAGCGAGCATATCCGATTTTCGGGCTTTTGACTGCTCACGAAGTCAAATTTTATTTACTTGATGTAAGATTACTTTATTGAATTAGAGGAACCGTAATTTTATAATCGTAGCTTAAGTTCATTAAATTCATCTTTTTAATATTAAAAGTAGGTATGTAAGCAAGAAATCATTGCATCTCAAGATAGTTGCAAAAAAAAGAAGAGGAAATGATGAAGAGATTGGACTTTAAATTTATTCTCAGCAGTCCATCAGGACATTATGAAAGACTAGAAATTATTTACAAAATGATTTTATAATCAGCATGACTAAATGGTTTGATTTATGAGTTTAAATTTGTCTTCCGATTAAATTTTGAACTACTTTTTAAAACACTTATTAAAAAACTTCCTACCGAAAATAATGAAGCGTGTGTGTTTTCAACATTAGTACTTAAAAAGAAAAGCAGGATGTAACACGAATATTGCGAAAAACCTCAAAATTCATCTTAAATCTTACAGCATTGTGCATTCTAAGTATCGTCGCTGCCCTAACCAGAGGTCGTAATTCTATTTCCGCATGGGCTGCGGAAAGCATAAAGTTATGCGGAGAACAAGGCTCACATGAAAATACAACTACGCTCTCTAGTCAGAGGGACGAAGTTATGGGGGTACAATTCAACCTACAAGAATGCACTCGACACTCAGTCAAATAGGTGCTTTGAGAAAAAAATCAGGATAACAGGTAAAACTTCTACCTAATTTCAGTTTCCCTAAAGTTTGTACAGTTTTCTCAGCAAACGCGACTAATGGTGTATCTCGTTCGGCAAAATTTCTATTAATTTACCTATAATTGAGAGATTTAACTTTACTAATTGCTAGAAAATATGATCAGTTTATCTATAACAATGGTATGAATAATGTCAGAAGCTTTTTTCGAGGGGCGAACATTTTTGCCCTCTTCGTAGAAATTTCTTTTACTTCACTACGACTACAAATGATCAGAATACAAAAAGCCATTAGATGCAACTAGATATTTATGAAAACACTTATGTCTTCTTCAAATTGCACTTCTCTATTTTGAGGAATTTGTGCACGGTGCATTACAAAGTTACAATGAGTGATTTCTCTCATTTATAGGTATCATAACATTCATAACTGCTACATTCACAAAAATATATTTTGAATATGAAGCAAGGAGACAAAATAAATATTAATTCGTTCTGAAGAAAGAAATCTAGCGCTGGTTGGTTCGATGAAAAAAATAATAATAGAAGCTGCTACAATATTTGCCTACTTGAGTATTTGAAGGAGTTTTATCAACCAACGAGAATTGCATACTTGGTAACTTCGTCATAGTTCCTGGTTTGAGATCGATTTTAAATTTTACCCGGACAACAAAGTAATCATCCAACTAGGAAGTATTTTCAGGTGAGACTAATTTAACTAGTTCAGCGTGATGGATGGACTCAAATCGAAAGAAGATCACGGTGAGGTCATTGCGATAGTGACCTCTACCCATATCTGAGTTTTCCGTAATACCGTTCACCCCCAATAAAATAAAGACCTCGACCGCTAAAGAGGAGGGGGGGGGTCACAAGTCGAAAATTCTAGCAGAGGTACGACTGCATCGGAAAGTGATTATTTTTGCGATTTCTTTTCGATTTTTGGGGGTTTTAAACATCATCTGACAAGTCAGCGCTCAATTGAAGCAGTGAAGGCTGGTGACTAGAAACTCTGACATTGACGGTCAGATGGCATCAATCTGATCAAGATAATAATGCAACGTTGTTGCTATGATATTTTATTTCCAGCGGTTCTGCTTAATATTTAAATTACCATGCCCTGTCATCCAAGTTATCGCCTCTCTCAGCCTTGGGAGGTGATGACCGATGAAAAATTTCAATGAGGGTACTAGGCACTCAGAATATAAGTATATACCAAGAAGTGATGCAAGGAAAATAATCTTAACTGAAATGAACACATCTTATGTGGTTATCTTATTTCATGATTTCTTACTTCTTCTACTACGGTAGAATAATTTCTAAACGCTACAGAAAAGATCTGCTTGTTGAAAGCAAGAAGAGAGAACCTAAAATCGATCAGCGTAATATTTCATTTATGAAATTTTCATTTTAATACTGTAAACGCTACCTTATTTTCCTCTTTTCTGGGCATGAAAATTTGGTTGGATTTCTACTTGCACTGCTCCTTTTAATGTGCTTTTTGTTCACCTCCTTTCTACCCGTGGCAAGCAGAGCTATGCTCTTCGTGCGCTTGATCCAAAATAAAAAACCAAATTTAAACGGACATTCTTTTTTTAAAAAAATGAAAATTTCGATGAAATATTTTTGAAATCAAGTGTAAGATAGGCTCTCTCATCTTCTATCAATATCTATCACTTCCTCGATGGCCTGGCGTTCTTAATCTTGATTTACTTTGTTTTTAGTTCCACGTGAAATTTGGACAATTTATCACACCTATTTGCCATGTACCGAAATGTGTGCGTCAAACCCTGTAAGTCAGTTGATTATTATACTTTAATCGTTCCTTTTTGGAATTGGTTATTCTTTATGACCGCATTTGCAATAGGGAACTACTATTTCCAGCTCATTTTAAGTACAACGTATGTGCCATTAGTTTCCTACCCTGGTAAAAATTGGCAGTAGAATCTGTGTTCCAAACTACCATAGACCTACGGCCGGCTGTAAGATTTCCAATAGCTTCTATAGCCGTCTACACAATTTCTTATAGCCTTTTATAGCCGATGGCGATTAAGCAACTCACAGCCAGGCGATAAAGTGTATGCTAAACGTCACTAATTACGGATGCTAGGACTTAGTGAGTTTTTGGAACACTGCTCTCTTCTTGGGCCGTAGTATCTTGATTTATTTTGCGAGGAAAGCTCCGTACTTTTGATGGATGCCTGCCATTCCTAATATATTAGAGCGCCTTCAGTTTCGTATGATACTGTGCAATATACCTCTGGTGTGAAATAGTTGCTTCAAGCGCCGTGGCACGCTGCGACGCGGCAAGTGGGCAGCCAGCGCGAAACACGCATTGGCGCCTACAAACCTAACAGGGATACTTCACACGTTGCGCAATGCGTGAAGTATCCCTGTTAGGTTTGTAGGCGTCAGTGCGTCGCCGCTCCGTTTTGTGTTAGGCTCTAATATTTAATCTGGCGGAGTCAGCGTTATTCAACTCATGATTTTGAAGTGTTTGCACATCCTGTATGGATTATTCTCATTTTAATTGATGAAAAAAAATATGTATCAAAGGAAATTATATCGTGTGTTTTGTAAATACTAAGGTAGTTCCGGAACAAACTTAATGATTTCCAAAGCACACGAATCTCTACACAATTTCTTATAGCCTTTTATAATCGATGGCGAAAAAGCAACAGCCAGGCGATAAAGTGTAAAGCCCGGCGATAGGAACTGTAGCCCGGCTGCATAATTTTTTATCGCTTCGTACAGCCCGGCCGTATGATTTTCTCCGCATTCCACAGCCAGCTATATGATTTTCTGTCGCCTTCTTTAGCCGGCTATAAGAATTCCAATGGTATTTTTAAACGCAGCTCTTATCACCAATTTTTACCAGGGTATGTAGACAGGTGCTTCTACTGATTAACCAGAAGTAGGAGTTCCTTACTAAAAATTGATGTCCAATTTGAATTGTAAGGAAGCTGTTGTCTCTGTGACCCTCTTAAAAGCAAGGCAACTTCGTTTTATAACAGGTGTAACATCAGTCTAAATAATGTGGTCTGAAGCTTTTAGACTTGGCGCTCGTCAACACTGATGTTAAAGTGATGTTATACTGACATCATTCTAATTTCTCCTCTAGACAGTATGACGTCTCTCTCACTTTTACGTAGAAACATACATGGACCCTCCACTGGCGCACGATGATGGTGGTAATTTTTACCCCCAGGGATTCAACATTTGCGCAGTTTTCAGTTTTGATGACGGCTATAAGATCTCTGCTCATGCGGATTGTCAAAAATAGAGAGATCTTGTTATCACTGACTTGTTCACTCCAGTTATTCTTCTATCAGTAGAAGTGCAACTGGTATCAGTATAAATGCAACTGATATCAAAGCAGATGCGACTGGAATCATCAAGAGATATAATTGATATCAGTGGAGATCCAACTGATATTGGAAGAAATCCAACCAGCAAAATGCTTTACCTGCTCCTAGTATGCATTTTGAACAGGCCACAACAGCCAAAAAACAGGTACTCTCAGGGCTCGAATATGACGCCCCGAAAGTCGAATTTTTTCTCCGTCGTAAAGAGGTCAATGATGGTCTTCAGCTTAAATTTGGTGGATCGATTGTGAATCGCAATCGAACAACCAAGGTCAATAAATCTGTCTTAGCAGTTCTATTTGTTGACCGAGGTCATTAGATAACGATTAAACAATCCAGATGGCTGATTTTTGAATTTGATAGACAAAGGGAAAATACAGCGATCCAGTGGCGAGGCGAGAATGATCGATTATCGACGTTTCCCCATTTGAAGCTTTGGTATACAATCGATTATTAAGGTATTCGTTGCCAACACCCTGTTCAGTGGCGATTTTGCAAGTTGACAACACTATTTTTTCTCAATTTAAATCCATTGAAAAAGATCGATATTAATGAGGCAAGCTGCCTCACCACGAATTGATTGTTTCGCATACATGCAAATGGAGGAAAAACAGTGTTGCAAACTTCCAAGAATCGCCATTGACCCTGTCTATCGATCTTCTCCCATAGGTTTAAATGACAGACCAATCGATACATCGCAGAGCACGCCATTCCACAGGAGTGATCCTATTGGTTGAAGAGGGTGGTTGTTGTAGACTACAGTTGAAAATGATGGACTAACTGGGCTACATTTGCACTGCATTTTGCAATTCGGAACTATAATTTCTGGCTCAGTTTAGAAACAGCGTATGTGCGATTAGTTTCCTTATGCACAAATGCGTTTTTGCAGACGTGCCAGAAAGTATAGCTCTGAATTGCAAAATGTATTCCAACTATAGGATGTCTCGTGGGTTGCCATTCGTTAGGTTATCACTTACCTCCTTTGTCCATTTCAACCACCCGTCTCCACCAATAAGATCGCTCTGTCGCCACCTGGTTCATCCCATTGTCTATCAAGTTATAATAATCAACTGGGAGGCGCAGGTGCTAGAAGTGTGATTGCTACGCGGAGCGAGTGACGTTGTCGCGAAGCGGGACGAAGGGATGCGCGAGCGCTCTCTAGCGGGGCGGAAGTGAGGTCAGCCGGTGGTGATTCCGGTGAAACTGGTGATGGGGACGCCGATGTCCCGGATGGCCTGCTCCTGTCGGCGCTGCTCCATGCGCCCGTCCTTGCCGAGCCCGAACTTCTCGATGAGGATCTCGGAGTGGTGGCCGTGGAGCGCCTCGAACTCGGGGCGCCGCCGAGCGGCCACGTTGGGGTCGAACTCCCACTTCTGCTTCTTGTGGTAATCGTTCGAGCCGGCGATGGCGTCCCGCAGCTTGAACACCACCGAGTCGATCCCGCACATGACGCCGCCCAAGAGCAGCACCATCAACTGGGCAGTCTACAACCAACAGTAAAAAAAAAAAAATTGGTTAATATGTGTGTCCATGGAAAAAGGACCCAGGTCCCGGCTTTAGTGCAAAAATTTAGAATTTTGTACAGTTGATTAAAGGATATCTTTCAAGAAAGCGTGGATATATTACGTAACGCTCTAGGAAACGGGATATGAGTATCTGCGTTACGCTGAGTTAAAAGGGGTGATGAAGGGTGATGAGGGGTGATGAGGGGGATCTGGGGGATCAGGGGGATCAGGGGTGATGAGAAGAGATGAAGAGGATGAGAAGAATGGGGAGTGATGGGGGGGATGAGGAAGAATGAGGGGTATGAGGAGGATCAGGAGGATCAGGGGGGATCAGTGAGGATTAAAAATGCCGAAAATGTTTTTTACGTAATTAATGAAAACTCCCCAAGTACAATGGTGGAATAACAACAAAAATACCAATTCTGCTTAAAATTACGCTACCCAGAATGTAATGTGGAGATGAAAAGTAAAAATTCCCATTTTTTCCATGTTTAAAGTTCAACAGGATAAAACTAGAATGCAATTATTTGGCACATTGAATTGGCAAAAAAAAAAAATAATCCATAAAAAACACCCCAAAATCGTAAAAAAAGATACTAGAGAGTGTTTCCTATAAAAAGACATGTGAAACATGTTTGTTAAACTTTTGCACGAATTTAATTTTTTATTCTTTTTCTTTTTTCTTTTTAAGGCAAAGTAGGAACTACGGTCTCTTTTCTATGGAACATCACATATAACCTCTCAGCACCTTATCCGAGTCCATTCCCGGCGTGGGTATAGATACTGGATTTCGGCAAGAAACTCCTTCAATAACGGAGACAGGCAACACGCATCACATTCTCGGAGATGATGCAAGTGTAGCGTGGGCGTGGGCGCTATGCAGGCTCAGACGACAGACCATGACCCGCGCCACAACGTCCCTCCACCCTTTTATGAACGGAATTATTACAGGCGCCTGGGGCCACGGGAAAGAGATGAAAAACTCGCGGAAAACACAACCTTGACTCAATGAAAAAACGGTCTTCAATTATCCATTTCTGAATTAAATTTTGAACTTTCATCAGATGCCTAGGCTTCACTCACTGGGTCAGTTGCGCTGGTCACAGAATCGTTTTTGATGCTTGATTTTTTTATACTAGCTTATAATAAGATCTGTCTAAACAGCAACTTCCTACGCTGAATATTAACCAAGACACCGCGCTTTGAAAAATTCGATATATGACATCATCCACCGAGGTAGTGAGACCCTTGGTTTTTTCCACCTTGCTTTCCTCCGAATTTCACGTTGAATAATCAGTGCAAATAAGTGTCTCCCTACCTGATGAAAGCAAGGTGGAAGAAACCAAGGGTGTCACTACCGCGGTGGATGACGTCATAAACCGAATTTTCCAAAGCGAGATATTTCCGTTAATATTGGACTCACAATTAGAGAGTTGCTGTTTGGACCGATCTTGTTATTTTTGGCTGATCTACAAGACTCAATCATCAAAACAAGATTCTATGACCGGCGCAACTGACCCATCTGGTACCCTTTCTAAAGTAGCTAGCGATCGCGATAAGTTGCGATTTGAGAATGTATCGCCATTTTATCGACGTCGATTCAATGCAATATTATCGAATAAAAAATCGCGATAAGTTGCGGTTTCATCTCATAAATCTGCGATAAAATCGTGATTTATCTACGGCGATTTATCGCAATCGTATCGAAAAAGAAATCGTCATAAATTGAGATTCGATCTCGATTTTATCCAACGCGGTTTCATGGAGATAAAATTGCGACAGGATCGAGGATAATCGCTCAGATGTTGATGATCCTAGCGATTTCATCGCCAAAAAATCGTAAGAAAATCGGAGCCTAATTTCAAAATATCGCGATTTCTCATCGGAAAATGCTGCTTGGGTTAGTACCTATCGAAGAAGTTGTGCTGGTTCCTCCCTCTCTACTTTGTGAAGTCCCGATCATTTCCATTCAACGTCGTCCTTAATCGGGCATTCCTGTCAAACGGAACTATGTGCTTTATGACGTGAGCCCCACTACGCATATGTTTTTATGGGTCTCAGGGCTCATGCCTTGCACTGAAAAAAAAATTCTCAGCGTTTTTACCAAGGTCCGTTGGTACCTTTACCATCTCACTTTGTTTACCAATTATTGGTAGTTTTACCAAGACAGACTGGTAAGCTTACTTAAAAACCGGTATTTTTACTGTTTTTTCAGGTAAGAATACCACTTTTATTGGTAATCAATTCCCGGTAACTTTGCCATTTAATCTCGGTAATTCTACCACAGTCGATAAAAAATATTGGCGTTTTTACCAAGGTCCAGTAAAATTACCGAGAAAGTTCAATAATTTTACCGATATTTTTCGGTAAAATTACCAATTCCATAAATGGTAATTTTAACAAGAAAAAACTGGGATCAAATAGAACCCTGAATTCTTGGTGATTTTACCATTTTCTTAATAAATACACCGAGATTTTTTTTTCAGTGTGATGCACATAGTTCCGTTTGACAGAAATACGTCCAATCATAATGCGAATACCAACATTTCCGTGTCATATCTGAAAACCTCCGCAGCATCCGTTCGCCAAGCCCTGATGCCAAATTTCCTTTCCTCGGCGAGAGCGGTGGCGATAGAATGAACGCCAATGACTGGCACTCATTTTGCTGACTTTAATCGACAAATATTTCTCTTATTCTGATCGAGTGCACATTGTCCTCGGTGTGGACGCTGGCCCGGTTACCCGGTTGCATGGATGATGAAGCAGAAACGCAGCTAATTAATTTCCTCTTCTTTTCTCTTCGTTTTTAATTCAGGTAATCTTGACACTCATTAGAGTCATTTTACTCGCGCCGAACTTAATTGTGGGGCCTTGTGCTTGGGCAGTGCTTTTCATCCAATTTTTTCATCCACCGGGTTTTAAAGTTTGTGACGTCCTGATCGCAGAGTAGCAAGTTGGCAGCGTTGCTTTCTCTCCATTTAAATCTGTGCTAAATAATCGATTTTTGTCGGAACACTTGGCCCTTTAGAGAATCGATACATTTCCATAGCTTTAACTGGAGAGGAAACAATTTTGCCAACTTGCTGGATCCGCCGATGTCTGATCGAAGAATTCAAACGGCACGATAAAGCGTTTTCTTGTAAAGTTCAAGATAAGCACATTGACGATTGACGGTAGAATTCCATAACCACGTATCTCGGCTTGCGACGATGTGGACTTCCTGACGTACTTTGTTATTTAAATGGAAAAGGACTCAACGTCAATGCATATAAATTTCTATAATTTTTCTTTCCAGTGCGAGTGAGGAAAGCTCTTGAAAATAATTCAAGGAATATTGCGTATTTAAGGGGCTTGTGGGAAAAGGCGCATAGGTAAGTGCAGTTTCTGGAAAAATTTAAGATGTGGATGAGGATGTATCTTCATATCTTCAAGGATGAGGTCTAAAAAGGCCCAAACCGGTATAGATCTCTCGACGTGACTTCAACTTAATATTCCTATGCAAACTGCCTGAGCTGAACACTCTCCCCCCTCAGTTTCGTACTGGTGCGCATTAGAGCTCAAAAAATTAATCTAATTTTAATTTTTGGGACTCCTTGGCTTTGATTTCCCCGCGAAACGGTGTGGACCTAGCACCATTTCTCCACCTTGTTAAACGTTACTAAATACGGATACTAGGACTTGGTTAGTTTTCGGACCACCGCTCTCTTTTTGTGCTGTAGTATCTTGATTTATTTTACGAGGAAAGCTCTAGACTTTTGATGGATGCCTGCCATTCCTAATATATTAGAGCGCCTTCAGTTTCGTATGATACTGTGCAATACCTCTGGTGTGAAATAGTTGCTTCAAGCGCCGTGGCACTCTGCGGTGCGGCAGGCGGGCAGCCAGCGCGAAACGCGCATTGGCGCCTACAAACCTAACAGGGATACTTCACGCTGTGCGCAATGCGTGAAGTATCCCTGTTAGGTTTGTAGGCGCCAGTGCGTCGCCGCTCCGCTTTGTGTTAGGCTCTAATATTTAATCTGGCGGAGTCAGCGTTTTTCAACTCATGATTTTGAAATGTTTGCACACTCTGTATGGATAATTCTCATTTTAATTGATGAACAAAAATATGCTTTAAAGGAAAATGTAATGTGTGTTTTGTAAATATTAAGGTAGTTCCGTATCAAACTTAATGATTTCAAAAGCACACGAATTTCTACACAATTTCATAGCCTTTTATAGCCAATGGCGATAAAGTGTAAAGCCCGGCGATAGGAACTATAGCCCGACTGTATACTTTTTCATAGCTTCGTATAGCCCGGCTATATGATTTGCTCCGCTTTCTACAGCCACCTATATGATTTTCAATAGCCTTCTTTAGTCGGCTATAAGAACTCCTATGGTATTTTGAAACGCAGCTCCTATCGCCAATTTTTACCAGGGTGAATATTTTTAATATCCAAAACTAATCAATGATTTTTTGTTGTTTTCTTTTTAAATGAAGGACGAATGAGGATTTGCAAAGTCGCAATCGGAGGTACGTATTTTTTTTTTTTTTTTGCTTTAGCCATCAAAGTGTTACTTTACGAGGTTATGCCAAATTAGCCTACCGAGGTCAAAGAATAGTCCCTTGCGACGCATTACAAATATGAATCGACTGGAAAGATCAATCAGAATGTTGACCTGAGTCTGGAAGCAATTATCCGTCAGATGAGTTTTTTAAAATTGGTTTTTTTAACTTCGTGAAATATTACGCTAAGAACGCATGTAAAATCTTTTGAAATTATAGCGAAGATAATCTTACATCCTACAAAATTTAAGCGATTTCTAAGTCACATCACTTTTAGACTCGAGACAAGCCCATAGTGCGAAGCTTTCTTCCGATCGGCTGACTTCCTCATTTGTTTAGGTCCTGCCCTTTCTGAAATAAATTTACTCTACCTCTGTCTCAAACAGCAGAGGCGAGTCATTAATAATCGATTATCGATATTTCCGCATTT